ATATAATATATATTTATTTATTTGTTCTAAAGACAATATACACATTAATAATAATGATGCAGATGCAGTGGCAGTGAAGGTGATGATAACAATGATGAAGATGGTGATGCTAAGTTATGGTAATGATGATAAATAAAAGATGTATATAAGTGGAGATCGTCAAACAATCATTCAGTTTCACATTATAGTTTCAAACTATAATTAATCAGTATCCTCCCAATTTATTCTACAGACATGGAAAGACGAACGAATCGGATGGAATCCGTATGAACATAATGTCAAGTGTGTTAAAATTCCCGTAGACAGCATTTGGAAACCCGATTTAACTCTGGACAACAAGTGAGTATTTATAAACACGGGTTGTTTACTTGTAGTATTTTAGATTAAACTTTATTTGTGCAATATTATACCTGTATAGGATTTTTCATTTTGGATGACTTTAAATCATTTTCATTAATATACAATTTAATTTAAATAATAGAATAGATTAAAACCGAAAGGTCCACTGATTAATCTATTCTAAGAAAGTATAATACATACTCCAAGTATTGAAATACACGCCATCGTGTTGGGATTCAATATTTCGACATTAATTATGTCATCATCAGGAATAAAGTTTAATCTAAAAATCATTCCTGATGATGACATAATTAATGTCGAAATATTGAATCCCAACACGATGGCGTGTATTTCAATACTTGGAGTATGTATTATACTTTCTTAGAATAGATTAACTATCTGTTGTTTGAATTATATATGCCTTTGAAGATTTATGTATACTTTAAGGAATATGTTACAAATATGTAACTTTATTTCATTATTCAATCAAATTATTTTAGTAAAGTAAAGTGGTGTTTTCAACTTCTTTCACTAGTATTGACGAGGAATACAATCAGTTTTTACCAAATACACCAGTGGAGGTATGCTCAGACGGAAATGCAAAATACGCAGCGTATTCTATTTTTCGAAGCTCCTGTCATATTAACATCGAATTATACCCATACGACAATCAAACATGCCGTCTACGATTTTCTTCTTGGGTTCACAATATGCTTGAACTAGATGTTCACCCAAAATTGCGTTCTCTGGATCAAGCGGAACAGTTTGATGATAACGGGATCTGGGAGCTAATTGGTGTGGATGGAAATCGAGAGGTGGAGAAATACAAGACAGGCGCTAACTCGTTTGTGTACGCCGTCTTTACCTTTTACCTCATGAGACGTCACGAGTTTCAGTTACTATTTGTTTTGATTCCATACTTTTTCTGTTCCTTTCTCATCTGCTTGATGTTCTTTATTCCTATGGAGAGTGGTGAGAAATTATCGTACGGAATAACAGCTGTATTAGGAATGATCGTCTTTCAAGAAATCATAGCGTTTTCGTTACCCCCTGTTGGCAATGAATCTACCATTGTTGGTGAGTATGAATATTTTATTTGCCATATAACTGACTGTTCCACAATACCCAGTCACTTTAATATTGTTGGTAAGGTCCTAACCTTACCGTAAATATACGTAAAAACGTGTGTTTGTAGGACAGACGCGTATTCCTAGACTTGTTCTGATTGCCATTTTGTTAATCTTGAGTGACACTCCGCAGATTCCTCTTCTTTAACGTTTAAGATATTGTATATATATATTCATTCATGGATTTTTTATTCAATATTCAATATACAAAATTCAGGCAAAAAAGTTAAAATTACAATTATGTCATAAAAACAACAAAATTACCATAAAAAATGAGTAAGTGAATAAATAAATAACGGGGGAACAGAAGGC